AACTTTCTACTCTTGAATACATATAGCTTCTTCACTGCATTCTTTTATCTTCTCGGATTTTATACAAAACTCCAAGAAGCATAAGGCCACCCAACCGATGCACCTATGCCTCTCGGGTCGGCAAATTTCCATAAAATTAAGGAGGTGAGAGTTATGGTCATGTGATGGAATACTGTTAATTGAGTTTTATAACGTAGTCTCGATGCTCAAAAGATATGCCCATTCAGAACGGACTGTAGAATCTTATTTGAGATTTATTGATAGTCTCATAAGCTACTTCAATGAATATAAGTAGCATAGTGATATACAAGTGTATATGAGGTATATTCAATCTATCACTTGTAAGGTGATAAGGAGAATTGTAGTTGAATTTTCCCACAATCATATTGGTACACTTGAGTTTCATATAGCTTTGCTTTCCCCAAAAAATATTATCATCCAGACTCAAATGGATCGCAGTTGCTACCTTGCCTGAACTGGTCTCGTCAGCGCCTCCAGAGGGATTCACGCCCGATCTGTGGCAGTACAGCAAATGGTATCGACACGGTAACCACTATGTCAGGTTGCCACGAGCGCCCTTGGGTCACAGGACAGATGTAAACCTCAACAAAGGCCAAGCATGACATTATGTGGTGGGATTGTTGATGAAGCAAAGTTGTATTCGTTATATCAATCGACTATATTACTTATATTCGGTTTGTAAGTAGATAGTTGAGAATACCAGTAGATCATATATATAAAACGTATTCATCCTGATTTTTCCCACAATCATTTAAGTAGACCTTACATTTCAAGTAGTCTCGGCAATCTACTTATATACGAAATAAAATGCAATTTTGCTTCGCCAACAGTCCAACATAAACTGTGATATGGAAGAAACCAGACCTGCGATTCCAGGATTCGAGTCCCGCTGATGTTGCTGATGAGGCCGGCTCAGACGAGGTCAAAACTACCGTTCCCTCCAGTCTGGGCGGGATGAGCTGACCTTTTAGGAAAGAGAGCTGGGCAAAATTTGGTTGAACTGTGAAGTCGACTCAACTGACTGTGAGAAAATTCAACTGACAATCTTTTACCGCTTTATGTGGTCTAGACTGATTAAAACTCTGATTTAAAATGTAATGATGTTCTCGAAGTCTACTTTCAATGCGCATGAATGAATGCGCATGACGGGTTTGGGGATCGCCGACAAGCCATTCATCCACATGACAATGCCTACTATTGCTCAAACGGTTACGGATGCTCGACATGAAGATGGAGACTAAACTCTGAGTTGGAGCCTCGATGCACGGAGCATGAACATGTATCGAGCCAGTATTTCGAGGTGAAAAAGATGTACAAAATTGCCAACATGACGAGGTCGAACCAGGCAAATTGACCCCTCACACAATCGACATGTCGAAGTCAGTCAAGTCACCTGGATTAGGATAATGGCGGAGAAGGCTTCAAAAATGGCTCCGGTCAAATTTCGGCTCGTATCCACCTGCTGGACCGGCTCATCTTCCGGTTCGGAGGCGCCTCCGTACTCCTCCATCTCATAAGCCTCGATATGTTGGTTCGAACTTTGGGTTGACATGGTCTCCGTCTCGTGGGCGGGCAGCGTCCGACTTTCAGGAAGATGTTGCAGCATCTGGCGATGGTACCAGT